CATTTTAACCTGATATATCTTCTCTTTTTGATAAATGCACTTGTTTAGGTAACTGTATAGCCTCATATACTGCCTTGTTTACGAATTTCCTAATTAACTCATCCAAAAGGAGTCATTAGGTATTTTCATAAAATCTAATTTTCCTACCTCGTATATCATTTTCGAATATAACTTTTTAATTATGAATTGAGGGATGTATTCCGCTGGTGCCATTTTTCTTTATATCGTTATTTTGCCTTTACAATGCTTCATAAACTTGGTAGGTTGGGTAAGAAAATGGTGATTCTCAGAAAGGGAACCGCTTGTGACCTAAAGATTAATCCACTTCAGACTTTTATCCAGCCAGGTTCTTTTTGTTTCATGAATTGTGTATGAATAGAAAGCGTTTGTTCTGACACTTTCAAGTTTAACTCGCCTCAGATGTCAAGAGAGTCTGATAGGCAAGTCCATTCATTGCACATTTTCTAATTAGATTTTACTATCTGTCCCTTTATCACCTTAAACAAAATATGGTGAATACACCTCATAAAGTGGGTCCTTTAATTTACTCCTAAAGTCACACAAATGGTGCTTATTTTAACTCACTACTTAAGTAGTGCTTATTAAATATGGAAAATCCAACCTCATTAATTCTACAGATTAATCAACCGCCCCCACGCAGTTTCGTCAGTCTTGTTCAGGATGGCATGGGCCGTGCTGAGCGCATCATCAAGGCCGTCATGTTGCCAATCGGCGTTGCTAACCAGCCTTCCACTGCTACCGCTACCTCAATGCTACCTTCCCAGCCCTCTGCCGGCACGGGGACTAGCGCAGGTGGTAACATACCTGATCAGTTTCCCTTGGGCACTGTTAACTCCTCTGCCCTCGGACACGAGACTTCAACACACGGCTCGGGTCACACCGATGGCGGACAGATTGCTAACAGCATGACAACAGGATCAGTGGGTGGAGGCTCCAGCAGCTTCGTCATGGGTCGTGTTGACAGCCGCGCTGCTAGTGCATTTGTCTCTAGTTTTCGTCAGCTCCTCCCTGACGCTGACTTCAATGAACTGCAGAAAATTCTGGAAATGAAAGTAAATCAAAGAGATCATAGGAAGGACGTATCGCTTGTTTAAATCCTTTTTGCTGCTTTTATGCTTATTTTTTAGTTTAAAACTGGGGAACTATTTTCGCTATTCTATTCCAGCAACGCAATTCTTCTTCATTAATTTTGACACAAAAGGTGTTCGTTTACCCTTTTAATAGTCAGTCTCATTTTGCTGCCTAGTCTTGATTTGGTTTCCATTTCTCGGATCAGCATTCTTCAATAAAAAAAACCCTGTTTGCCTTCCATTTTAGAAAAAGGAATGCTAATTCAACAAGTGGTGAGCCATAACCTCGAGGATTTTAAGCTATAATGTCCTCTTTTATGATTTACCCCCTCTTCTGTAGATTTATAAGGCTGACATAAGCAAAAATAAATGTTGGTATGGCCTACATTTTATGCGAAAGCTTTTTTAGAAGAGATAAGCTGGCATATTTCGTTGGAAGAGGGCGACAGCTTCTCTTTATGGAACTTCACTTGACCTGAACATTAACTGGCTATCTCCCACATGGTAAGCATACTATGCTAAATTACTTTCCGAAAAAGTGCTCAAACTGCTTTGCTTCATATATTTTCTCTTTCATCTGTCCTTATGCTTGCGCTTCACTTGTCTACGCTTATAACTTTGTGTTCTTAATAAATTGAGTTTGAGTTATAACGGAGGCCCGTCTGGCTATGTTACTGACTTTTTGTTTAAATTTGAATGCACATAATGTATGTGAATATAACTCTTGGGTCACCCTTGTTTGAAATTATCACCTTTTTAATTTACAAATCAAGCAGAGGCAGTTACTAACTTCCTGACCAAATAGCCTATACTCACATCTGTTTATTCAGCTATCTTTTGGCGAATAGGACGATAGGTCTCTTAAACATAAAATCGATCTCATGAATTGGCTATTTCGTGTTGGCTCAATTTGGATAATGACCTAGGTTTTTCCATATAAGTTGGTATGAAAGAAGAAACTATTTTTATTTTCTACCTTCCTATAATTTTTCTTACTCTTCTCACGGTAGGCAATAAGTAATATTAAAACATGGCAAATATTTTCTTGCTCTCTATCCTGTCCCAAATATTCTTTGTATAAAATTATCACTATTATTAAATTAATTATTAAATCAGTGCACTTTTTAAAGAGGTTTTATCTACATTTATCCCAATGTACCTATTATTTTCACGTCTCTTTTATTGTCCAAGGGGCTTATATCTGCTGGCTTTGTACATCCAATAATCATCTGCTTAATCTTTTAAGCATGATTTTAGACGTAATTCATAACAAAACTGGTTTAGACCCTATTAATCTTTACTCTGTCTAGCACCATCTTTACTGACTTTAATATCTAAAGAAATTTTTATTTTGCTCTTAAATTCCATAATGAACCCAATAATAACCTGAAGACTAGTTATTTGAAAATAGGAAATAGTCTAAAC